CTTGAATGTGCTTTTAAATAGCTTTGAATGTGTTTTGTACATAATTGCTTATATCATCATAGTTTTAAAACAAAACAAAAAATCTTGTGTCATTTTAGAGGGATTTGTGCGGACAGTTAGAGTTAATATGTAATTTACCATACATACTGAACTTGGTAGTTGTCTGAGTCTTTTACATTCCAGTTATTTGGCAATTGCACAAAGTAACTAAGCAGAAGGTTTGGGTTTGTTTTTTTTTTTGGGTAACATGTAAAAACCCTTACCCACATACCATGTAGGGAAGAAGAAACTGAGTTTCGACTTCTGGTTTTTCTATGAGTTCTTCTGTTGTAATAGTTTCTTCAGCCTCCTAGCTTCTGCATACTTAGCATACTTTGAATAGGAAGTCAATCCCTTTACCTTTCTACTGCCCAGTAGAATTCCTTACAATGTTTTAATATGCTAGAACAACCCGATTCTGTTAGGCTTCACTGAACCTGATGTATCCTCTCTGGGCCACAGATTACAAGTGAAAGTGCTGTAAAAACTATTGTAGGGATCAAGAGAATTGTTGGTGCCTCTTTTGATGGACAAACATACTTTATTTACCTAGTCTTCCTCTTTTTAGGCCTAGTACAGCTAAAAAATCTCTTATTTTACTAATCTTTTATATTGATAGATCACTAAATCATGGTCTCAAATAATAGTGAATTTTCTGCTTTAGGAAAGCCCTTCAGAAGTTTTATTGCTCCTCTGATGGCTGGCTGTGGACATGTGTGGTGCTAAAAGTGTTACAGATTGGGAGGGAAAACAATGTAGCTATAGGTGAATGAATAAAGGGGAGAAACTATGACAAGTAGAAACACAGTTACTGGACAAAGCACTAGAAGATATACTGTAGAGAATAATCCTGTGTTGTCTTTTCTCTCTCTAATTCTGACTTGTAGTGTTAAAATACTATTTCTACTGTCTCTATTCACTGCAGTATTGTAAAATGACAGGTTTCAGAGGAACAGCCGTGTTAGTCTGTATTCGCAAAAAGAAAAGGAGTACTTGTGGCACCTTAGAGACTAACCAATTTATTTGAGCATGAGCTTTCGTGAGCTGTAGCTCACGAAAGCTCATGCTCAAATAAATTGGTTAGTCTCTAAGGTGCCACAAGTACTCCTTTTCTTTTTGCAGTATTGTAGAAATTTTCAGGCCTGTGTTTCAAAGGATTCCTAGATTAATCTGAGTTTAAGGCCAGAAGGGACCATTTTTATCGTATAGTCTGATCTCCTGCATAACACAAGTAATAGAAAAACATCAGACCTTGATTTTAAAATCTCCAGTGTTTGGATAATCTACCACAAGCCTAGGTAAATTGTGTCAGTGGTTAGTTACCTTCTCTGTTTAAAAACTTGCATCTAATTTCTAGCCTGAATTTGTCTGTTTTCAGCTTCCAGCCATTGAATCTTGTTATATTTTGTCTTCTAGATTGAAGGGAACAGAAATGTGATAAAGAGGGCTCTAGGTAGACTGTGATCAAGTCACCCTGTAACTTTCTCTTTTTGTTAAGCTAAATAGATTGAGCTGAAGTATCTGGCACTGACCACTGTTGGAAGACAGGATATTGGTTTAGATGGACTATTGGTCTGACCCAGTATGGCCATTCTTATGTTTTTATGAGCTCTTTAAGTCTGTTAAGGCTTATTCTCCAATCCTTAAATCTTTCTCATGGCTCTTCTCTGCCCCTCTCTAGTTTATCTGTCCTTCTTGAAGCGTGACCACCAGATCTGGACACAATATTGTAGTAGCAGTTGCACCAGGGCTAAATATAGAGGTATTATAATCTCTTTACTTCTGCTCAGTACTCCCCTTTCATACGATCAAGGGTTCCATTAGCCCTTCTGGCCACTGCATTGCACTAGGAGCTCAAGTTCAGCTGATTTATCCACTGTGACCCTCAAGTCTCTGTTAGGGTTAGTCTACGTTAGAAAATTAGGTTGATTTAACTGCCTTGGTTAAGAGTATGAAAAACTTACACGCCTGAGTGGTGGTGTTAAATCGACCTAAGTCCCTGTGTAGACGAAGCCTAAACTTGTTCCATCGACATAGCTACCGCCTGTTGAGGAGGTAGATTACGAGAGTACCGCACCTGTCAGCATAGGTAGTGTCTACACTGAAGAGACACAGTAGCGCAGCTGTACCGCTGTAGCATTTAAATGTGGAAAACCTTAGAATCACTGCTTTCCAGAATAGAGTTCCCCCATCCTGCAAGTAGGCCTTGCATTCTGTGTTCCTAGATGTGACCTTGCATTTGGCCATATTGAAATGTGACTAGAGTATAGATAGGCAATGTTGTGTTTAATTTGGTATTTTATATTTATTTCAGTTTGCAGATTTTCTCCATATTATTCTGGAAATTCCATTGTTTGCTATTTGATTTGGGTATCAATTCATATCTTTAAAGAGTTGCACTGTATGTCATTGTAGTTCTCCCCTTTAATGAGTTTTGAATGACTGGATTTATCCTGGTTAGCCTTTTTACATGGATTAAACTAATTCTAGTAGCTGGTTGAGGCTCAATAACCTGAGTCTATGCGGGCTGACGTATCTTATTGTCAAGTCCTGCATAACAGGTTGTTTGACATAATCTGGCAGTTTAAAAAATCATCTTTTTTTCCAATGCAAACGAAACTTTAGGGAACAGAGAAGCAGACTAATGCTGGGACTCTCCAGTGCTTAAAGACAGCCTGTGGAGTTTTCTCAGAATCCTCATCCGGGGGGAAAAACTAGTTTGTCTTTTCCCTTGTGATGCAATTTTTCCACTCTGATTAACTGTCAGATCTCTTGACTGTTTGGTTTAACAGGTTTTGACAATGAATCCGAGTGTAAGAGGAACAATACTGCAAGCAAGAAAATTTGATATAAATGTCTTGCTCTTCTCTAGTTGCCTGTTGCTGTGCAGTGTCTTTCCTAAAATACTAATGAATATAGGGGGTTTCCAGATCGACAGCATTTTCACTGGAGGGTAACTTGTGATGGTGAATGAGTGTCCGTTTTTGTTTCTTTTTTTTTTTTTCTTTTGGGTTTTTTTCATTGAATGTATAGAAAGATGTGGAAGGGAGAGAGCAAATTTTTTGCTTGGGACAGATGTTGTAACAACCCTGTGTCAGTACAGGCTTGGCCTTTTTATACAGATTAGTTTTATCAGCTAAATACTTTTACCATTCTCCTTGTTAAAAGTAGTGCTCCCTTGAGACAGAAGAAAACACGCCAGTTAGGACTGTCTCTCATACTGAATTCTATTTTTTTTATTTATTGGAAACCTTTCAAGAATATTTTAGGGAGCTGAGGTGGAAGCCTTCTCCCTTTCTTGAAAGCTTTTGTGAGGCTTCAGATTTCATGTGACAAATAAGCATGATAAAGAGGAATAGAGGGTGGTGGGGAAAACAGTGGAGAAGTTTCTTACAGTGTTTGTGTATAATTAAAGAGCAGGTCTCCTGGGAAACAGGAATAAAGATATAACTTACTGCTGGACCAAAAGTAGGCTTGACAGTTGCCAGAAAATTGATGCTATAATAGCCCACCTACTGGCAGGAGAATCAAATGCACTCTTCTCTCAACTCCCAACATGAGACCTGTCTGAGGATCCATTTTTCCTCCCTGCAGAAGGATAGAATCTGTTCTTGCAGCAAGGAGTTCCAAGGCAAGGAAGGTGAAGGCTCATGCCCTGAAGACAAAGCAAGCCTACATTGAACTGTGTCTTATGAAGTGGAAAATATTCCAAAGTGCTGTGTTTAAGGGGTAGAGAAGGAAAAAAATTACAAGCTATAAAAGCTTGACCTAATGCTGACATCCTAATGTGGGACTATTGTTTGAACATGTGGAATGTGTGATTCAGATTTTATTACAAGAATTTCAGGAAATCTTGTGCTTTAGAAATGCATGAAACTGTACAAGTAACATCTAAAAGACTGTGTAGTTAAATATCTCTGGCACTTTTATCTCATAGACTCTTCCGATACAGCACTGCAATTTGTGTTTAAAATCAGAGTTATCAGTTTTAAAATAGTGGAATCAGTGTAGAAAACTTCAAACTGTTACTCTTAATACTTTAAGGTTTTATGGTCACATTCATACAGTACAAATACTATAAAGTATCAATATGATAGACCCAAGTGGCTGTTAATTTTTGAATAAAAGGCTTATTACAATAAATCTGTGATGCAAGGAGATTACCTATCAAGTTACATGATGCAGTATCACTTTTTTGCTTCATAAAATGGGAACATATCAACTGAAGTTCAAGGCTAAAAGAATCCAGAACACAAGTAATAAAATCAAAGTATAATTTGTGTGGATTTTCTGAATATTATAAAGTGTTGATAAAGTGAGAATTTTGAACTTGATTTTACTGGACAAATTTTATTCCATCCAGTGAGTACTTCTAGACAAAATATTTTGAGCCTAAATGTGCAGAGCATTTTAACAGGTTTCCTGTTGCAGGTTCATGGACTATCGTACAGTTGCTTTTGAGAAAACAGTATAACTTAGCTCTTAAAAGCTCACATTTTCTGGAGATTAAAATAGGACTTTTCATAGACCGCTAAATGTTCATGTACTGTTGCTATATAGGAATCCTGAATTTACACACGGTTATTCCAGCCATTCAGCCTCTTCACAGATTTGAAGTTTGGCATGCAAATCACTGTTGACAGCCAACAGGCCCTCTTGGACTGTTTAAAACTATGAAAGCCAACCCCTTGCACGATGTTACAGATTACGTTTGTTGTAATATATGCCATATAGAAGTCAGGCCTGAAATGGTGTGATTGGAAAAAAGGATTCAGGCCTTCTTATATGTATATCAAATAATCAGCTATCCCAACATCTTAGCTCTTCTTTCTGCCCAAATCCGCTTAGAAGGACCCAGCATGTCTTTGAGAATTTTCTATATGTATTTATTAATACAAGAATTGGACAATTACATTTGGATTTGAAAGTACAGAATTTTTCTTTTTCTTCTCCTCTTCCAGGTGTTCAATACTTGCCTGCAGTGCTTATGTTGCTCTGGCTTTGGGTGATAACCTTATGGCTTTGAATCATGCAGATAAACTTCTTCAGCAGCCAAAGCTGTCAGGATCTCTTAAGTAAGTCTGGATTGACCATTCTTTTGCCCCTGGTATCTGGAAGAATCTGAGTTGAAGTGTCAACATTTTTAACTTGTTGCCAGTGCTGCCTTTAAGTCTAAGAACGCAAATATTAGATCTGACTCTTTTCCCCTTGAAGTCTGTGGCAAAATAATCACTGACCAGCAGGAATGGGGCCTAACTTTTTATATATGAAATCTGTATAATTGGAATGGTCAGATTCTGTAACTACTTTTGGTGCTTCTTGTTAATCTTGAAAAGGCAGTTTGGTCCAGTGACTAAAGTAGCAGACTAGATATTTTAGGCCTGGGTTCTGTTCCTGGCTCTGCCATTGACTGACTTTGTGAGACATAGATTCTGTGCTTCAGTGTCTCCATCTGCAAAATGAGGATAACAATGCTTACTATTTCTGTAAAGTTTATTTAGCCCTACCGGTAAAAAGTGCTATGGAAGTGCTAGTTACTTCTTTGTATATGTATTTAATGTTAAACTGCTGTGAATGGGCAGTAACTGCTTTCCACAAAGACAAATTTCAGAGTAGCAGCCGTGTTAGTCTGTATTCGCAAAAAGAAAAGGAGTACTTGTGGCACCTTAGAGACGAACCAATTTATTTGAGCATAAGCTTTCGTGAGCTTCATCCAATGAAGTGAGCTGTATCTCATGAAAGCTTATGCTCAAATAAATTGGTTCATCTCTAAGGTGCCACAAGTACTCCTTTTCTTTTTGCTCTCCACAAAGACTGCTACTTTGAGTATTCAGTGTGTAAATTAGCTTCAAAGGGGCTTTTAACTTCCAGAAGATAAGCAAGATACTTTTGAAAGAAATCCAGCTACGTTTACAGAAGAGATTGCACGTGTGTAATATTCCTGTTGGACTCAGTCATGTTGATTGTCATACAATTCTGAAGGCTTTTTGTTTAAAAAAAAACAAACAAACAAGTGAGCTTGAACCCTTATCCTTCACTCCCTGGCTATAAGTGGTATTTCATGGTGGGGTTCACAAATCTGTTGCCATACATACATATGACGAAGTGAGTTAATCCATTCATGTTTGTAGTACTTTGCCGGCAATATACATGCTAAACCCACCCATGTCAAGAAATTAACTGATCTTAATTTTGTTTTTGTTACATGCCTAATGTTACTTCATTGTAGCTTTTGTGCAATCCTTTTATGACCCAAATATTCTTAAATTTGAAAGTCCGCCACAAACTGCTTTGTGATGGTATGCCCCAAATGGAGAAATAACTGATCAGAGTCATATTTGGGAGCAAAAGACAGCCATTTACATTCTTTGCCTTGCAGAATTAGCTGTTCTCTGTGTTAATTATGCGTGTTTTCTTCATGTTACTGAATGGGGTAAATTACATGGAGGGAGCTGACTGTCTGTTGCGGTGACTCTGTCTTTTTAGATTATATGCTTCAGATTAAAACACTTCAGTTTATGGATAGTTGTTTATATAATAATTGCTTTGCCTTTTAATACAAGTTGTCAATAAATTCCTTGTGCGTGCTAATCGTTAACTCAAAACAAAGCAATTTTGCTGTAATTTGAGATGGATTCTATATTGTGATGTCTTATACATATGTATATCATTTTTTTTCAACTTTTGTTTTAAATTTAATATTTGCTTGTAAATTTGTATATTGTGGTAATATCTAATATGCAATCTTAATTAGAACATTTTAATTTAATTTTAAAAAATGCAGATTACCTGTGCTAAGCTAAAAATGGAGAACATCATAAACATCTCTGTGTTGTTAATTGTATCACAGTAGCTCCCAGGAGCTCCAGCTGGGAATGGTTTCAGAGTAGCAGCCGTGTTAGTCTGTATCCGCAAAAAGAAAAGGAGGACTTGTGGCATCTTAAAGACCAACAAATTTATTTGAGCATAAGCTTTCGTGTGAGCTGTAGCTCACGAAAGCTTATGCTCAAATAAATTTTGTTAGTCTCTAAGGTGCCACAAGTCCTCCTTTTCTAGTTGGGAATGGGTGTCCCATTATGCTAGGTGCTGTACAGGCACGTAGGACAGCGCAAGAATGTACAGCCTGTATTCCCTCATTGGGATATAAATTTATGCCTGCAATTTTGTTTGTTTTTAGTAACAGACTCTAGTAGCAGGTTGGTGTTTTTTCTTTTGGGTATGAAATCACTTAGCCTTAGTTTCTCCATCTGCCAAATGGGAATAGAGACAAATACCCAACCTCCCAAGGATGTTGTGAGAATTAAATGATGTTTTTTGTATAGCAATCTGAAAGTGTAAAGTGCTACATAAGTGCTATTTATTTATTATTATTAAATGACAACTGGATACTTTGGAGAGTAGCCGTGATCCCACAAACTTTTGTGCACGACTGATTTCACTGGGACTACTCACATGCACAAGTGTTTGTAGTATTGGAGTCTAAAATGGCAAAAAGTCAAATGACTCACTTATAAAAGTATCTCCATAATAATTTCAGTGCAGCAAACTGTCACTCAGGTAAAGAAATACATCCAGTTTCTCTTCTGAAACAGTAATATGGTAATGAAACTTGTCCAAGTGGAATTTGTATCTGAATGTTTGCTGTTGTAGGTTTCTTGGCCATTTGTATGCAGCAGAGGCTCTCATCTCTCTAGACAGAATATCTGATGCCATTACTCACTTGAACCCTGAGAACGTCACTGATGTTTCCCTGGGGATCTCTTCAAACGAACAGGATCAAGGTTAATGAGTCTACACTTGATTAGAACCGGTCGTGCTTTCAGCTGCCTTCCTTCTGTAATTTGCAACATATATATGTTTGCAGCAGTTTTTGTGAGGTGGATGGTCTGTTCTTTAGTCCTTAGTTTTTGGTTTACCTTGTGTATATTTGTAATTTAGTTCAAAATAACTAATGTATTGCTCATCAGTTTGTCTAAACATTATTTATTGGAAGTTTGTTATTAAATATGTAATTACAGTTAATGCTTGGGCTTCTTACCTGCTAACACTTCACCCTTTTTCACCCTCCATGCTTGTTTTCAGAGTTTAATACCATGTATATACACTGTGGGGATATGAGAGGGGAGATGGTTAAATCTATATCTTAAAACTTCCAACGCTTTTGGGGGGTGGGGTAGGGAATGTAACAAAACCAGCTACTTTTAGATCCCATCTATACAGTTCAGCCTTCAGAAGCAGTTCTGATTTGAATGGCACATTTGCAGTTTAAACTTTATTGCCCATCATTATACTGCAGATTTAAAAGATGTTTGTAGATAAGCAAAACCCTAACATGAAAATTGAAAGCTTTCTAAATGGTCCACGATTTCTAACAAGCTGATAGATTTTTCTGGTTTACCATAGTCAGTCCATGAAGAGAAAGTCTAGCTTGAATCTGCTGTCATAAAACGATAGGGTTTTCTTTTAAAGCCTTAAGAAGGCTCACAGGACATTTTGGCTTTTCTTGTCTCTACAGGGTCAGACAAAGGAGAAAATGAGGTGATGGAATCTTGTAAGTAATAGCTCCAGAATCCAGAAGTAATGCAGGCATTTGTCTTGCCACAGTGTGGAATGAAATCAAAAGTGTGAAATAATTTTGATTATTTTTTCTTTCAGCTGGCAAGCAGACACCCCAGTGTTATCCCAGTTCAGTCACTTCTGCACGAACAATGATGTTGTTTAACCTTGGCAGTGCTTACTGCTTGCGAAGTGAATATGATAAAGCTCGCAAGTGTCTCCACCAGGTGAAAAAACAAACCTCAAGACAGCTTTATGTACTGTTCCCTTATATAGGAGCCATCTTCGTCGTTATGCTGGAAATATTTATGTTCACACTTTAAAATGAAACTTCAAAATAACTTCAGGAAGGGAAATGTTTTTTAAAGAAAACATTATAACCTTTCCTCCCCCCTCATCTTTCTCCTTTATCCTTCAGAAACTTGCTCAGTTGAAACTTGCTATATGTTTTCAACCAGAAGATAAGCCTGAAAAATGTTTTCAGTAATAATATTTTAATTACATCTTTACATATTCACCTGATTTCAAAGACATTTGTCTGCTTAGGTGAATTTCTCTTGGGTGTTTTATCTAAATGAATATTGATACAATGGTCTAGAACTACTTTAAATGAGCTTTTCTGGAAATAAGAGCTGTTCTGGATTAGTTCTAATGAAGTTGTTCTCAAATTATGTCAACCATCACGCCAACATCCCTTTTAGCTTCTTTGTTTTAAAAAACATTGGGGTGGCTAAAGGGAAGCCAAAGGCGTCAAACTCTCTGAAGCAGTCAATTAAGCCTGTAATTTTAGCCTTTTTCTTCATATTTGCCTTAAACTGTTGGTAGGTGGGCTTAAAATTAATCTGACACTTAATTGTTCCTAAAACCGGTGATAGTTATTGCCCTTAAAAGCAGAACTTTTGTGGTGTTTTGGTATTCCAAACACTGGACTGCTAAAACTTGATTTTAGTTTACTTTTAAGACTGTAAAGCTGCTCAACTGCCTTGGTGGGAAGTTAGGATGCTTTATAGCTGTTATCCATCATATCACAATCGAAACACAAACATCCCATTTCTGTTGCCTGAATACAAGAATTTCACTTGTGGAGTACTTACAAAAAATGTGCAAATACTTGTGCTGAAAGGTTAGGGGTTTCCTGAGGCTGAGGGAGTTGATTGTCCTTGGCGTTCAGTTTCCTCTAGTTTTTCTAGCTTTTACTCCCTCTTCCTTTCTTCCCTTGGCATAGTAGCTCTCCGCTCTGTACAACTAAAAAGGGTTCTCTGCAGAATAACTTAGGCTGTCATAATTTAATCACTGTCCACAACAGGATACTACTCTGAAGTTGAAGCTATTCAAAGCTGTTCATTTCCTTCCTTTCAATAGAGCCGATCCATGTCACTGGGTACTACATGTAACTATCACCATGTGTGAAAGAGAGGGGACACAGAATGACTTCACTGTGCATATTTAAATGGATGGATAGGTGGTGTTCAACACTGAGTGAAACCAACTAGAAAAACAATGGGCAGGGACACCACTGGATTTTATATCTTGCAGAGAGAAATAAGGCAAATTAAATGGTGAAATAGCATTTTGGTACCAAGTTACGCAAATTACCGTTCAGTCTTTTAACTGTACTGGCTTGGACCAGGGCTTTTTATACAGAATCATCTTGTCCCATATTTTTAGTGTTCACAAATATGGTCCCAGTCCTTTTCAGGAATGTTTGTATATGTGTTTGGGGCGGGCGGGGTATTAAACCAAATACACTTGTACAGGTTCAGTTAATATAATTTCAGTGTGCTCACTTCTTAGTGAAGTAATAGCTGTATTTTGGGCTGAACAAACTGTAAGGCTAAGGGGTTTATAGCAAATAAACTTGGAGGCCCCTGAGTCTATTAATTAGTGATTAGCGAGTTAATGGGAAGCATCTTTGTTGTACTGGAAATATTTAATTGTTCACACTTTAAAATGAAATTCAAAGTAACTTCAGGAAGGGAAATGATTTTTTTTAAAAAAATCATAGCCTCTCCTCCCCCATCATCGTTCTTTCATCCTTCATGTCTTCCTTCTTGCTAAGCTATGAGGAAAGGAAATAAGGCTTTTGTATGAATAGTTGCAATATATTTGTTTACATGTTTCAAAATTGACTAGGAGAAGGGCTGTTTTCTTCCAGTGTAAACAAGACTAACACAGATACGACAATGATGCTTGCTCAGCTGTAGAGGGAAGGAAGTTGAGGTTGAAGGATGAAGAGGAGGGAAATGAGTCAAATATTTAATAACATTTGCCCTTTCAGAGGCTTGACAACCCTTGCTGTTTTTCTTTGCATGTTAATCTCGAGAATTTTTCTGTTTTGACTGAAAGGAATGACGCTGTGCGTGAGCTTTCTGAGTATAGGAGCCAGTCGGAGCACAGAGATTAGAGTGACTGATCGGAGACCTGCATATTTACCACACGGTTTTGAGAAATAATTGTACTGTGATCATGAAATCCTTTTATGCTGCCTGTCAGCTGATCAGAGTATGGGGAATCAAATACTATATGATTTATTAAGAAATAAACATCTGTACAAATCATTGGCAACCAATCTGAGCACAGGGAAGTAACTAACTATATAGTATTCCTGCACTCTGATTGGCTGAGACAATGACATTTCACTGCATTCTCAAACTGCCGCAGGTTGGGAATAGAGAGAGAGAGAGATCCCTAGCTGGTGCACATCTGAATAGGTTCATTAGCTTTATAACGGAGGATCTGGTCATGTGACCGTAGGGAGATTTTTGAATGAATTGCTCATCTGGGAAATCACCCCTCCAAGAAAAGAGAGACAAAACCTTCAGATTGGCTCAGGAATGACTCCTTTATATTTGTCATGTATGTATGTAAAAAGCAGATGGTGCCTCTGAGTAGAGGTGCGAAATATTCTTACAAGGCAGATCATCTGTCATCCTCTCTGCATACATGGACCTGATGGCAGGTATTGATATTTCAAAAATAGTACCTTAGTTTGTTTATTGCCCTGTCTTATAACTATCCTGTTAACTGGTATTTTCCTTCTTGTTGAATTATCTGTTGAGTTATTAACCTTTTTTCTCTTATTTTGGGGTAAGGCTGCTTCACTGATCCATCCCAAAGAAATTCCCCCGGAGGCCATTCTACTGGCTGTGTATCTTGAACTACAGAATGGTAAATAATTTTAGCATCTTTTCTAAACAATTTTAACCCCTTTTATGTTGATTTGAGCTTCCTGTGCTTCTCGTGCTGCTTGTGTTTAATTATGGTTCTTGGCCTTACTGCAAACTTTACCGAGGAATCCCCCAACCTTTGAAGCTGAAGCAGTAGAATAAAGCCTTTAGTAGCATCCGAAATATATGGTCTATTTAGACTTTGAGTTCAGATGTGTTACAGCTCAGCAAGTTGTGCAATTAATTGTTCCCCACATTTCATGTCCAAAGCTTTTTGTGTGTGTGTGTGTGTACGTACGTTGGCGCCATTGGTTGCCACCTCTTTGTTTTTATGTTTTCTTTGTAACTGATAAATACTTGTTTTTACACAAGGACTCTTAGCCTAAATTACACAGCTGGCTGGCAGAGCCTGCTGTAGTTCAGACTTAAAAACAATGTCTAGCATAAACCTGTTCTTACCCACTCGAAAGCATTCATCTTCTGGGCTGAAATTTTCCATGCATTGTCTCTGTACATAAGCAATTTGTCTTGGAAAGTTTGAGCAAAATCCTATCAGTTAGTGACAAAGAGTCCTGTGGCACCCTATAGACTAACAGACGTATTGGAGCATAAGCTTTCGTGGGTGAATACCCACTTCGTCGGATGCATGTATTCACCCATGAAAGCTCATGCTCCAATACGTCTGTTAGTCTAAATGGTGCCACAGGACTCTTAATCTGAATCTGTAAAAGCGGCAAACGTGGCTACCCCACTGATACTTATCAGTTAGTGAGTTATGGGAGATTGAATGATGAGAGAGTTTATGCACTTTCTTGCACCTTTGTATAAAGCAGGGGTCGGCAACCTATGGTATGTGTGCCAAAGACTGCATGCGAGCCGATTTTTAATGGCACGCTGCTGCCTGCGGGGTCCCAGCCGCCGGCCCCGCTCAGCCCACTGCCAAACCCAGGCCAGCAGCAGGCTGAGTGGGGCCGGTGCCCAGGACCCCAGCAGGCAGCAGCGTGCCATTAAAACTCCTGCCCACCCCAGCCTGCTGTTCTCTCTTTTCTCTTCCTCCCTCCCCCCGCCCGCCCGCCGCGTGGCGGCAGGGTGAAGAAGCTTGGTCCTGCTGGCTGCTGCTGCAGGGCAGGCAAGCTCCCCCACCTCTTTCCCCAGCGTGCTGGGTTCCTGCCCTTCCTCCTCTCCTGCCCTGCCTCCGATCAGCTGATGGCCCTTGCAAGGGATGGGGAGAAGTGGAGCCGCAGCGTGCTCGCGGCTCCGGGGAGGAGGCGGAGAAGAAGTGGGGACGGGGCCTTGGGGAAGGCCGTGAGCCACTCTGGGCAGGGAGCTGGGGGTGTGGGCTAGGGTTGTGGGGGTGCTCCCAGCCCTCTGCACCCCCCACATTCCCACTCCCACCCTGAGTACCAAACGGGAGCTCCTGCATGCCCCTCCCCCCCCCACATTACCGCCTGCACCCCTCGCACCAAATGGGAGCTGCCAAGGTAAGCATTCCACACCCAAACCTCCTGCCCCAACCTTGAGCTGCCCTCCCTCATTTTAGCTACTGGCCAGATCCAACCCCCAGCCTGCTCCTTCACCCCCCATCCCTGTGCTCAGTGCACTCCCACCCTCAGCTCAGTGCAGAGAGAGAGAGGAAGAGAATGGACTAGAACCAGGGAGAAGGTAGGTACCCACCCTATGTGGGCAGGGCCAGGATCCCAGACCAGCAGCTAGCTGAGTGGGGCTGGCAGCCGGGACCCTGGCTGGCAGGAGCTGGCGAACACTCAGCCCACTGCTGGTCTGGGGTCCCAGCCACTGGCCCTGCTCAGCCCACTGCCGGTCTGGGGTTCTGGCTGCCGGCCCCTTGCCAGCCACTGTCCCAGCCACAGGCCCCGCTCAGCCTGCTGCCGGCCTAGGTGAACGGAACCCCAGGCTGGCAGTGGGCTGAGCAGGCCGGTGGCGTAAGATCAGCATTTTAATTTAATTTTAAATGAAGCTTCTTAAACATTTTGAAAACCTTGTTTACTTTACGTATGACAATAGTTTCGTTATATGATATATAGACCTATAGAGAGAGACCTTCTAAAAAAACATTAAAATGTATTACCAGCATGCGAAACCTTAAATTAAAGTGAATAAATGAAGACTCGGCACACCACTTCTGAAAGGTTGCCGCCCCCTGGTATAAAGTATAAAGAAGGCCTAAAAGGTTTGTTGGGTTTTTAAGGGACACCAACCTGAAACCTATTAAGCTTCCAAAAATAAGTTAAATAGTGCCATGTACCACACCTACCCCTGAGACGTCCTCAGTTTAGTATTCTCCTTCACTTGCTTGTCCATATGCACATTTGCATCATGCACTTGAGTCCAGAGTATTTAGTCAGCAGTACCTAGACCTCACACGTATGCCCTGAGAGTCCTCATGCTCCACATCGAGGGCATGCAAGGGCAGAACGTACTGCACTCCTCCATTCCTCTTACTCACTTCTGGCTTGAGACTTTACACTATACCTATGCTGCAGCTTAGCCTCAAAAGTCACGCTGCCAAAATCCAGCCTGATTCCTGTCCAGAACATTGAATTCATAGGAGCAGTCTTAAGTTCCGCCAAGTCTGTGGTTTACATCCTGCAGAACAGATTCAACGACCAATTGGCCCTCATCTGTCAGTTGGAACAAAACCCAAATACCATAGCAAGGATCTGTCTGATGGCTACTAGGACATGTATCCTCTGTCACCTTTGTGACACCACATGCCAGACTTCACCTCTGCTGCTGGTAGAAGCTTATCCAACTTACCAACAATCATCATTAGTAATGTATCTTTGTGTGTCCTCTCTAGTTCTGTCCTCCCTGACACACTGGAAAAATCCAGCAAGCATCTGCAAAGGGATTGATTTCCATTCTCTCTCTCTTCCCCCCCTCCCCACCCCACCCCATCACATACCATAGTGACAGATGCTTCACTAAGGGGATGGGAGGTCATATGATATTGCTCAAAGTGTAAGTCCTCTGGATGGTATGGGAAGCAAGGATGCATATTAACCTCAGAGCTTATGCAAAACATCAAGACTTTTCTCAAATTTATCAGAAGACAATCGGTACAGATAAGGACTGACAATACAATTACCATGTTCTGCATCAAAAACCAATGCGGAGCCAAGATGCTGTCAGGTTGTGGACCTGATGCATCAAACATTAGATTGTCCTGTCAGCAGTATACTTAGCAGGCATTTAAAATACATTGGCAGGCAAACTGAGCAGGCACTTCTTCCAGAATCACTACTGGGAGATAAAGAACTCTGTTCTTGGGTCACCTCCAGATAGACTTGTTTGCCACATAAGGTCACAGGAAGTGTTGAATATTTTGTTCTAGGGGAGGCATCAGCCTCGGCTCCCTGGCAAATGCATTCCAGGGTCAGGGACCTTAATATACTCCTACCCTCTGATATTGAGAGTGCTCTGTAAGGGTCAACAGGAAGATTCATACAAGCTGATTGTGATAGCCCTGGCATGGCCATGCCAGTTTGGTTCACAGACCTGCTATACCTGTGAACCTTCCAACCCAAGACCTTACCTCTGCTCCCAGACCTCATATCAGAGAACAAGGGAGAGATCCTACATCCAGAACTGAAATCCTTCCATCTCATAGTGTGGTTCCTGGGTGCATGTTGTCAGTAGAATATGCCTGTTGTTCTCCAGTGAGGAATATCCTTATGAACACCAGGAAGGAGTCTACAAGAAAAACCTACCTGCCAAAACGGACAAGGTTTTCCCACGGGTGCTGTAGAAGGCTGATTGTTCCTCACAATTCTTTGATACCTCAGATCTTAGATTATTTGCTAGAACTAAAGAACAATAATTTGTCACTGAGTTCAGTCAGGGTTCACTTTCCGCTCATCACCCCCCGGCCTGGAAAAACCCTGTATTTTCTCACCTGATTATGATGAAATGTTTAAATGGGTTGATTGACGTATTCCCACCGATCGAGTACCTCATTCCACCATGGGACCCCAATTTTGTAGTTTCATCCTTCATGAGCAGACCATTTGAACCATTTGCTACCTGTTCCTTTTTACGCTTCTGCGAAGATGGCCATCACATCAGCAAGATGGGTAAGTGAGATCCAAGTACTTCCGAGAAGATATCTCAAGGACACATTCCAAGTTCCTGCCAAAAGTGGTTACTGACTTCCACTTGCCAGTATTCTTTTCAAAGCCTCTTGCCTCAAGAGCACAAGCAATGCTACATTCCTTAAATGGCAGGAGGGTATTAGCCTTCTACCTGCATAGGACAAAACCATTCAAATAGCCTTGGAGAATATATGTCTGTTTTGCAAAAAGAATAAAGGGGATCAGCCATATCAACACACAGACCATCAAACTGGATCTCCAACTACCTCAAGACCTGCTATGAAGTAGCCAGAGCAGAGCCACTTGGTTCCTTGGGCTCATTCAACTAGAGCTCAAGCATCATTAGTAGCTTCACTGAAGAGATGTTATTCACATGCACATTCCACATAGCCTCCATCCACTCAACTTTGGTGGTCCTTATCCTTCAGATTCTGCAGCTGAGAAGAAACAGAGGAGCACTGATGCACTCTGCCCTTATATGCCCTTTATGTGGAGCACAGGGACTCTTGGGGTACTGCTCATGTCCACTGCTCCATGTCCATAGTGCAATGTGTATATGGACAGCACATTTCAAAGGATTCCAGGTACTGTAAGATGAGTAAATTTCCCCTATTGCTGTGTGAAGGACCCACATGGAACAGGAATGACAGCCCTCATTCTGAGCTTCTCTGCATGGGCACAACCAAGCACCCACATGGAGCCCTGCTGAAGCCATCAGGACTCTGGTTGCAAGGGACCCCCAGAGCAGAACCACCTGCAGGACTGTGGCATTAGTAACTGAATAGACAGTGCTGTCGGTGCTCAATTTTTCACCGCTCTAATCTCTGTTACAATCGTGTTACACGTAAAAATAGTACATAAAACATATTCAGATAGGAGTGTGACTTAAGCTGATAGTTTTAAGATTTTTCTCTTTATATTTTCAAAATAAGAAATATGAAGTCTCATATTCTCTGGTTTTTGTGGATAATTTATATGTTGAGTGAGAGATTTCTTATCTTTGACATTGAATTCCGAACAAAGACATCTTTTGAGGAAAAACTGGTGCCACCAAAAACTTTTAAATAGTCTGAATAAAAATCAGGTCCCTTCAGTTAACCAGATTTTGCTTGCCTGGTTTCTTTGACTGCACAGCTACTACGTTAATGACAGCTCTGGACAAGACCTGACGTCTTTTGTTTTTAAAGCAAACTTTGGGAAACTCTTCTGGATTTACTTCAATTTACAAAGCAGAAGAGCACAATCCCTTTTTCTTTTCCTTCTCAGGTCTCCTCCTCAAAGTGGTGTAGATGTTCAGTGTGACCTAGAGCTGTTTTTATACAAACATCACTTCAGTTCACAAATTCTCATTACTCTCTTTCCCCCTCTTTTCATGATGCATGACTTGAGAGAAAAATCAAAAACCAATCTTTTCAGAATTCATTAAATGGAAAACAATTCGGGGTCATGGTGGCTTTTTTAAAGGCCATTTTTCAATGAAAACTTTTGTTTGAAAAATGTGGACCAGCTCTAAGCATGACTGATTTAAGTCAGAATCTTAGCTTTCATATGTTCTGATTTGTATATGTATCCTTGATGTCTCACTTGTGTTTCCATTTATTATGTACTGTGTTGTCCGTGGGGATGACTGAGAGATCAGTGATGGCAAAGGTGTATAATTGTCTAAGAACCCTTATGTTTTCAGATCTAATAGGATTGTACAAAAGTCCAAGTTGGATGTAGGGGGCAAGGTGGCTCTGGGGATTCATAGTGTCAAGTACTCTGCCAACTTAAGATCTTAAAATCTTAAAATCAACTTACACCTTCAGGACAGAGACTTGATTTTAACTGTTAATAGCTAGGAACAGCAGCTGGAATTGAGCACTGTTGTTGCTTCAACTATCTTTTTTGTTTGATGTGCATTTATAGTAGGTGACATCCACTTATCAGTATGTTGATCATTATGAAATAGCATATGCCAGCTGCAGCATAAGATTTACCAGAGTTGCGTGGGTGGGACCTACCGCGGGCAGGGGATTGTCTAGGATGACTTTTCAAGATTTTTCTGTCCCTGACTCTCAAGAGTTTGTCATGGGTAGAAGTGAATTTTAACTAGAAACTATTTTGTAGGTAACACTCAACTGGCACTGCAGATCATCAAAAGAAACCAGCTTCTCCCTTCAGTGAAAACACACACTGATATGCGAAAGAAGCCAATATTTCAGCCAGTCCACCCTATCCAGCCCATTCAGATGCCAGCTTTCACCACTGTGCAAAGGAAGTGAAGTCTTGCTATAACCTGACAGGCCCTAAGGAAGAGGGCTTGTGAGTTTGTATATTTTTTAAACTGTCTCTTAGCCACCTGAATACCAGGCATATTGGAATGTGCTGGCTTGTGTACATTTTTAATAAAAAAAAAAACAAAAAACATTTCAATGAAAAAATCATGTCTGAAGATGTTTGTAAAAGGCATTTAGTGTGGAACATTTACATTTTAATTACTAACAGGCCTGATAGCCACCATCTATGCTGTTAATCGTTTTAACTCACACTCTTTGCAGTAGTCATTAGTTTTGATTCTGCTTTTTTCATACAGAGCAGTTTCTGTTTGCATCACTGCTCACTTCTATTAATTGTCAGTACAGACAATCAGACAGCGCAGCTGCCTCTTTTTGTTAACGGAGAGCCTCTGCCCAAGCTCTCTACTCTTCAGGCTTCTTAGGTACCAGGGACAAACCACCATCATCAGATCTGTACAAAAAGTAAGTCATCTGCCAACCTGAGACCATTGTGATCATCTAGTCTGGCCTGTGCTAACCAGGATGCCATAGAAACAATAGTATTGTAGCTACTATATCAGAGACCCCTTTTCTCTGCTGTTTTTGCTATGTCACCTTGAGACATTTACTGGATTCTCTACCTGCAGACAGCTACTGTCTGCAAGTTTCTGTTTTACAAGAAGAGATTTAACTGTTATAGGTGACTTTCCTCAGCTGTCTCCAATCTTAAAGACCTTGTATAGCTGGGCCTATGGTTTTATTTCCTTAAAGCTACTCCCTGTATAGATTCTGCCATGTACGATAACACTTCTTAAAAAAAGGTTTTAGTCCATAGATAAGCCTGATTTATTATCTTGAAAGGTATAGAGTGGATTGATGATGATGGTACCTATCGGAGCATCAGAATTGTGAACTGCGGGAGCCTTGGGTTTGTTCTGTGTCCTCCCAGTAAATACAGCCCATCACTGCTAAACTGCATGGTGGGATGAATGGAAGATAGGCAGAGACTAAACACCTCTTCACTTGTGCCTTAAACTAGGAGAGGAGCCCTGGGTGTTAGTGCATTGGGCTACCTAAGCTCCCGTGCACATGCTACTTTGCTACACGCAATGCTTCGTACTTCTAAAGCCTGCTTGTACGCAGTGGTGTGTCTCCCATGTCTTGCAGCCTGACCCCATTCTAGTCTGAGCTAACTTGCCAATTTTAGGGTTGCGTTAGCTTGGTGTTGAGTCAATTGATGTAAAGTTAGCTTGGAATGTTTTAAATAGTAAAGATATATCAATAGCTATTAATACATTTATGTAGACAAATGTCTGAAACACAACAAGCTGCTTTATACATATGAGGCAGAAACCTCAGACTGGCTAAGTCTCTTAGCTCCGGCCAGAAGAACTTTTACAGGAAGGTTGGACAAATGCTCACCATGAGAATAGACAAGTGTCAGACTAAGGGCTTGTCTACACTGGCACTTTAAAGCGCTGCAATTTTCTCGCTCAGGGGTGTGAAAAAACACCCCCCTGAGCACAAGACGTTTCAGTGGTGTAAAGTGCCAGTGTAGACAGTGCACCAGCGCTGGTGGCTACGTCTCTTGTTCAGGTGGGGTTGGGTTTATTTTTTTGGTTTTGTTTTTAAGAGCGCTGGGTCCTTGCTGCTTGTATTTAACTCCAGCAGTGGGGAAACATTGGCAAGCCACCGCTGCACAAGTCAGGTTAAAGCTCTGCCACGGCTATATGAATAATCCATATGAAAATGGCTAAACAGTGTGCGTCAGTGCCTTGAGAGCAATCCGTTCCTCTTCTACATAGTTATAGCCCTGCAGGCTTGGTAGGTTTGCAGTGCAAACTATATGCATCTCAGTTTCCTTCATAACACAAAAAGAACAGGAGGACTTGTGGCACCTTAGAGACTAACCAATTTATTTGAGCATAAGCTTTCGTGAGCTACAGCTCACTTCATCGGATGCATACTGTGGACTATCAACTTCATAACACAGCCTCCCCTGAGTCCTACTACTGCCCAGTGGGGGTTGTGTCTCCTTCTCCAAGAATCTCTTTTTACTGCGTAGGAGCATGCATACACACGTGTACAATGCAGGCATTCTAGTAACCAGTAAGTGTTCTTACAGGGCTTTGGTTCCTCTGAATTAGGCATAGGTGCCCTCCTCCCCTCTTTTATTTAAGAGCCAGTAAAACAGGCTCTAGTGTTGGAATTTAAACCTCATTTCTCCACTGTCCTTGTGAGTATAAGACCATCAGTGTACCACACAGAGCAGCTTCAGCACTTAAAGAGCTGATGAGGCTGCAGCACCCTGTGAGCATTTCAACTAACTTTTTTGGAGGGTCAGGGGGGTAGGGTGTGAACTCACGCTTGGATTAATTCAAAGGAGTAGCCTGCAAATTTCACTTTCCAGGTGGGTGGTTGTGTTACTGTTTATGGGATCTCGCAGGTACATCTGGTACAAATACGCTTAGGCAGAGCTAAACCTTGTGATTTTACTAGCACTAATGTTTGTAGAAAGTAAAATGCAAAACAATTGCTGCACATATGTGCAAAAGCATTGCTCTAAAATAAAAACACTTGTCCAATCTTTACAGCAATCACTCAGCTCTATCAACAAGCCCCAAGCAGTTACTTCAGAAGCTGCCTGAAGCCAGCATGACCCCTATCAAAACTTAGCAAGTGCTCATCTTGATGAGTACAGTCAATGCTAAAAGGCCATAATCTAGCTGGGTCATTAGTGTCCAAGTCCACCTGGAATTTACTAGCCTACATCCTTATAGTCACTAGAATGGGAGTGGGTAGTAGGTGATCAAGACATTAGCTTGCATAGTAGTCACTTGAGCCAAGAATGTACCATAATTCAAAAGGGACTGTGTGTGCGTGTTTGCCAACCAACTCTGAATATCTGCAATATGAACATTTTGGAAGGGTTAAGATAATCACCATTAGGGGGATAGATCACCCTCATTTGCTTACTGTGGGATCTTTCTCTTTCTCTTACTGGCTGTTGTCAGACTGAAGTAGTCAGACCTTTGGTCTCAGGCAGTTTGGCCATTCCTGTGCAGTAATGAGCTGTGGGTCGGTTCAGCTGCATTTCTTCTGTACCACATAGTTGTCCATACCTGTGCATTTTTTTCTAGCCACCGGAAAGTATGCTCATAGGAATGCTGCCTCTGAGTGGCTGCAGGCCAGTGCTGTCAACACAGTGATGCAAATGAGCTCTGAGCACAGGAAAGTATGTCAGTATGCCAAATCACCTAAGCAGTGGCCAGCATCCCCTGTAGGAGGAACAGTAGCAGGCTGGCTTGCTCTAGAGGGGCTATTAGGCCAGTCCCTTTCCGCACTCATGGAAATGGTTAGTCTTGCTTGTTGCAGAGGCTAATTTAAACATTGATGTGAACACAACAGTGAGAATTGTGCATGAATGGTCATTAGCATGGAATAGGTCCTTGCTGCTTGTATTTAACTCCAGCAGTGGGGAAACATTGGCAAGCCCGTTAACTTAGCACTTGGTGAAAATGGAAAGCTTATAGGCCATGATACCAAGCCCTGGAGAAGTATTTGATTAATAGGGAAGCCTTCAAATGAAATGATGGGCCAGGACTGTGAATGCCCAGGAGCTGGTGCCAAAGTCACAACTCTGTTTTTGCTTAGACAGCAAATTAGCTTCTCTACCATCTCACTCCCGGGCTTTTGAAGTCAAAGCTGCCCAGGTAATATTTCAATGTGACAACATGGAAAGATGCATTAATGTTGTTTCAGGATCAGTTGTCTGCAAAGTTTATGTCCCCCTCTCCTATATACTTTAACTTCAGCACTCAGCCTGAAGTATTCTGAAATATGTTTGAAAGGTGACCTCTGCTTATTTCTATAAAAGGGGTTAGTCATATCACAGCACATTGACTGATTCAATATAAAAAGGTTGAAAGATGCTTTCTGTGTGGTCTCCTCCTGAAGAAAGGGTTTTCCCTCCCCCTCCTAGGAATGTGGAGTATTCACATGCAGAAATGCTAATGTATCGTTTCAGCATTTCTCAGCTCCACGAGAAGACATGCAACATTACGCTCACCGGTTTGCAAAAGGATGCAGTTGTTGTTCCCCAGATACCACCTATCTAATCACACTTGAGCGGAACTATTCATTCTTAACTCTCCCTTGAATCAGAATGCTCTTCTGGCCCAAGAGAGGCTGAATGCTAATGTAGGCTTGTAGTTTGAACCAGAGACGCCTCAGTATTTTCCTGCAGCAGAAACGCTTTCAGAAATTGGCTGTATATTTAAAAAAAAAAAACCAAAACCAACTCCTAATGAACTAATGCCTGAGCTCAGCTCTGAAATATTTACTAGGGCTGTGGGTTAATTCCTGTTAACTCAAAAAAATAAATTGCGATTAAAAAACAAATCATGATTAATGGCCGTTTTAATCACACTGTTAAGTGAGAGAATACCACTGGAAATGTGTTCAGTATTGTGGATTTTTTGTTACATTTTCATATCTCTTGTATTCTGTGTTGTAATTGAAATCAAAGTGTAGATTTTGATGACAGTGCAAATATTGTAAAGAAAAAGTGAATGAGGTGAATTGAAAAATACAAGTACCATAGTGCAGCAGTCTTTGTCCTGAAAGTGCAACTTACAACTGTAGATTTTTTTTTTTTTTTTTTTGGCTACAGAATGGCACTCAAAACCAAAACAATGTAAAACTTCAGAGTCAACAAGTCCACTCAGCCGATCACTAAGACAAACAAGTTTGTTTACATTTACAGGAGATAATGCTGTCCTCTTGTTATTTACAATGTCCCCAGAAAGGGAGAACATGCATTTTGCATGGCACTTTTGTAGCCGGCATTGCAAACGTGCCAGATATGCTAAACATCCGTATGCCCCTTCATGCTTCAGCCACCATTCCAGAGGACATGCTTCCATACTGATGCTGCTCATTAAAAAAAATAATGCATTAATTAAATTTGTGAAAACTCCTTAGGGGAGAATTAAATGTCCTCTGCTCTGTTTTACCCGTCTTCTGCCATATATTTCATGTTAGGACAGTCTCAGCTGATGACCCAGCACATGTTTTTCATTTTAAGAAAACTTTCACTGCAGATTTGACAAAATGCAAAGCAGGTACCAATGTAAGATTTCTAAAGATAGCTACAGCACTTGATGCAAGATTTAAGAATCTGAAGTGCATTCCAAAATCTGAAGGGACGAGGTGTGGCGCATGCTTTCAGAAGTCTTAAAAGACCAACATTGTGATGTGGAAATGACAGACTCCAAACCACCAAAAAAGAAAATCAACCTTCTGCTGGTGGCATCTGACTCAGATAATGAAAATGAACATGTGTCGGTCTGCACTGCTTTGGATGGTTTTCGAGCAGAACCCGTCATCAGCATGGACGCATGTCCTCTGCAATGGTGGTTGAAGCTTGAAAGGACATATGAATCTTTAGTGCATCTGGCACAAATATTTTGCAATGCCAGCTACAACAGTGCCATGCGAACGCCTGTTCTCACTTTCAGGTGACAGTGTAAACAGGAAGTGGGCAGCATTATCTCCTGAAAATATAAACAAACTTCTTTGTCTGTGTGATTGGCTGAACAAGGAGGAGGACTGAGTGGACTTGTAGGCTCTAAAGTTTTACATTTTTATTTTTGAATGCAGGTTTTTTGTACATAATTCTATATGTGCAAGTTCAACTTTCATGATAGATTGCACTACAGTACTTAGTTTTTCAATTCATCTAATACATTTTTCTTTTTACAGTGCAAACACTTGTAATCAAAAATAAAGTGAGCACTTTACACTTTGTATTCTGTGTTGTAATTGAAATCAATATATTTGAAAACATAGAAAACATCTAATGGTATTAGTGATTAATCACGATTAATTTTTTTAATCACTTGACAGCTCTAATATTTACACACATCCATTTTATAATTTTTTCCTAGCTTTACCATAACACTGACTGGTTAGCCAGTTCCAGAAAGCTGAAGATGTCCTGTTCCTCCTTAATAGTGAGATGATTATCTCATGAGCAGTATCCTTCCTCTCTAGTTTTACTTCCCAACACGTACTTTCCCCTCATTATTTAGTCTCTTTTCCAAAGTGTGTAAGTGCTTCAAGAGGCAGGCAGACAAGGAGGCTGCTGGGTGCCTTGGTCCAGCTAAAGCTCTGAAAGAATTTGGTAAGAGGATTTAATTTAACCAATTTAATAAATGGGTATTTGTAAGATTCAGTAGCAAATGCTCCAGGATTCAAGACCAAGAATGGGATGTGGGGATATCAATCACACAGATCCTATAACCAACAAAGTTGTCACGCAGTAAGGGCTTGATCCTGCTCCCATTCAAGTCAGTGGAGCAGGATTCAATCTTATCACTTCCCTAACAGCAGTGAATACATGCACTAAAGAAAGGAAGCAAGTCTTTTGCCTCATCCAGCAAGCTACTCTGAAATGATCACTCCATCCCATTGCAGACCCCTGCTGGTGAAGGCCCTCTGCTTGGGTTTTGCCCTCATGTGGGGGAACAGACAGTGATTTCAAATCAATGTACCTCAAGTGCTATGATGGCACAGAGGCCTTCCAGCATTTCAGCTCCAGCAATGTCTGGTGTAGACAGAGCTACAGTTGGCCACCAGTGTTTTTACTGTCCCATCACCTACCAGATATCTCACAGAAGTCAAAGCCACAGGGTCTTTAAAACAGCAGTGGCCATTGGCATTCTGCTCTGAACTAGTCCTTCCATAGTTGCTAACAGTAGTGCAACTAAACTGGTGGTAGCAGCCGTGGGAAGTTTTTCACAGAAGTGCCTAGAATAGACAAGGCCTTAAAGCATTAACTAATATAGTGTCACTAACAAACTAGTCACTCAGAGCTTGAGGCTCAGTCGCTAGCTAGTGTATCTCAGACCGCTAGTATCCACTCAAGTGCTTGAGCCCCTCACCGTTTCTAGTTTACTGTGAAAGCAGTGGTCTGAGTCATTGTGGGTTGCAGTCCAAGGAAAGAATTGCTGCCCTGAGGGGTCCAAGTCAAGAAAAGTCAACTTCAGAATATTTGAGGGAAGGTGGGAATTTTCAGATGTGCTCTTGAATTACTTCAATACTAGTCCCCCTGAAAGTCAAAGGGGAAAAACAGAAAATATCACAATGCCCCTATATAAATCCATGGTACGCCCACTGTGATGTTCTGTACCTCGGGAGAACACCCTACACCCCCATAGTCATCCTTATGATTGTGTGGTATCCAATGCAAAGTTTGTCATGTCAGGTGTCTTCGGAAGGCTCATGATGCACTGAGCATTGTTATTCTAGTAATGTTATAGGTTGTAATTTCAAGTATATAGTTATGAGGCTGAAAACATGTCCTCATGGCTTAAAACAAGCCCAGGCAAAAACTCTCCAAGAGCAGAGAGGCAGTTCACACCTCATCAGGGCATGTATTGGACAAACCCAGCCCAGCCTCACCGGAACAAAAGACACTGGCCTAGGCAGCATAAAAGGATCTGTTGAACTCTTGAGTGAGTCATTGCCCTTCCTTTGGTCAGTTTGGGACTGCGATGAGGTAATGCTCACCTGACTCTGCAAGGGGGTGGGGGGCAAAGCCAAGAGGGAAGAAAGGGCATAATAAAAGGGTGAGACATTTGCCATGCTCTTCCTCTCTTCCAGCTCCATCTACAGACATCAACACGAAGTGACTGAAACGCTGATCAAAGGGGAGAACCTGGCTGAAGGGCAACCAGCCAGCCTGTGGTGAGAAGCATCTAAGTTTGTAAGGGCACTGAAAGTGTTAAGATCAGCTTAGAATGTGTATTGCTTTTATTTCATTTGACCAAATCTGACTTGTTATGCTTTGACTTATAATCACTTAAAATCTTTGTAGTTAATACATTTGTTTATTCTACCTGAAGCAGTGTGTTTGGTTTGAAGCATGTCAGAGACTCCCCTTGGGATAACAAGCCTGATACATATCAATTTCTTTGTTAAATTGACAAACTCATATAAGCTTGTAGCGTCCAGAGAGCACAACTGGACACTGTAAGATGGAGGTTCCTAGGGTTGTGTCTGGGACTGGAGATATTGGCTAGTGTCATTCGGTTGCACAATTCAAGGAGCAGTTTACATGCCAGAGGCTGTGGCGTGAACAGCTCAGGAGTGGGGTTCTCACAGTAGAGCAGGGTAAGGCTGGCTGCCAGAGTCAAGGATTGGAGTGACCTAGCAGATCTCCCATCCAGAAAACACCAGGGGAATGTCAAACCCACATTTTGAATACTGTGTGCGGATCTGGTCACCCTGTTTCTAAAAGGATGATAGAATTGGAAAAAGTAAAGAGAAGGCCAACAAAAATGATGAGGTGTATGGAACAGCTTCCATCTGAGGAGAGATTAAAAAGACTGGGATTGTACAGCTTGGAAAAGATACGACGAAGGGGGGATACAATAAGAGGGCTATACAATCATGAATGATTTGAAGAAAGTGAATAAAGAAGTGTTCTTTACTCCTTCACATAACACAAGAACCAGGTGTCACCCAATGAAATTAATTTGCAGCAGGTTTAAAAACAAATATAAGGAAGTACTTCTTCCCATAACGCAGTCAATCTGTGGAACTCATTACTAGGGGATTTTATGAAGGCAAGAGTATAACTCTTTACAAAGGGAGAGTATAACTGAGTTCAAAAGAGAATTAGGTAAGTTCAAGAAGGATAGGTCCATCAATGGCTATTTGCCCAGATGGTCAGGGACACAACCCCATGCTCTAGGTGTCCCTAATCCTCTGACTACCAGAAACTGGGACTGGCTGAAATGATCACTCCTGGATCATCCAATATTTGCCCTGTTCAGTTGATTCCCTCTGAAGCATTGGGTACCGACCACTGTCAGAAGACAGGATACCGGGCTAGATGGACCTTTGGTCTGACCCAGTATGGCTGTTCTTTTGTTCTTATGCAGTAACTTCCAATGTTCCCTCTTAATTTTTTACATCCGTGTGTGGAATGAATTTTGTTATGTGCGCCAATATGGAGGTGATGTGGGGTGGATCAAAGGGGTTTGGAGTGTGGGAGGGGGCTCAGAGCTGGGGCAAAGGGTTGCGGTGTGGCGAGTGAGGGCTCAGAGCTGGGGGTGAGGGCTCTGGGGTGGGGCCGGGGATGAGAGGTTTGGGGTGAAGGCTGCCAGGGGGCTTTGGCGGGGAGAGAAGACTGCAGCAGCCCGGAGCCAGGGGAGAGGCATCTTTCCTGGGTCGCAGCAGTTCCTTGGCCAGGGGAGAGGCACCTCTCCCTGCCTGCGTGGCCCTTAATAGTCTGCTGTGTGGCTGCACAGCTTAGAGGGAACTTGGATAACTTCTGTTTACATCACCCTGGAAGCTCTAGAATTCACCCCCCATACACCATGCATTCTCTCACCCACTTAATTCTCTCATCTCCAAGTCTACTGAAGACCCCTCCCCCCATAGTTTCTTTCAACATTTGTCCAAAGCCGTGTGGGCTAAAGAGGACTGCTGCCTGCATGACCAATCATTATGCAATCTTGAAGCTAAACTGTGCTGCCTGGCACTTGTGCCCGCCAAAGGATCCCCAATGTACTTCACAAACAGCACATTTAGCACCCCGAGAGGTAAAGGAGTTATCACCCACATTTTACTGATGAAGAAATGAAGGCACCAAAATGAATCGACGTGCCGAAGGCTACACTGGAACTCTGGAAGAACTGAGAATATATTTTGACACAAGGTCTCATATTTCCTACTCTTTATTCCTCTGGTGTTTCAGAGCCCAACTTACACATCCTCAATTTTTGTTTTAGAAACTTTATCGTTTACAGAGAACCAGTTTTACTTTCTCCAAGATGTGCTTTGTCCTTTCTTCCAGGATGCAACAGAAAGATTTTTGCTTAAATGGATAACACACATAGACAAGAGACCCAAGTTTGCCATGAAAAACTCACATTTATTTGATTAAACAAAAATAAAATAAACTGCATAGGAACATTTTAAAGTCCAGAGAGACACTGCCTTTGTTTTAAGGCTGCCAGTAGCTGATATATCATCTCCTTGCTACATCCTTCAGCCTTCTCTATGGACCACAAAGATACATTCAGAAGCCTCCATTAACACAAGAGTTCTCTAACATTGTTAGTTTGTTCTACGTAACAGTTTGCCCATAACCTGTCATGCTTTCTTCTTTGCAGTACGTAACATTTTAAGTTACAAAGTCCAGCAATTTTTGTCTAAATAGACAAGTGAACCCTTTTTTGGATGGTGGGGGTTGTGCTAATGGAAGGGTTTTTTTGACCTGACCTGTTCCATTAACAGTTTTATATGCTCTGTTTTTAATGAGCTGCTCAGAGCAAAGTCTGTCCCACTGAGAATTTTTTATTATTCGGAAAACAGCATGATCAATCAGTAAAATAGAAAAGCAGAGTGAAGCAGAACAGGAAACTACCAGAGCAACTGGCTCAAGAAGCACAACTTCCAAGAACTGACAGAATCATTCTCGATGCTCATGGCATTACTGTGCTGAACTATATCAAGATGACAGTACTTCTAATTCAGTAATTACGTTTTATAAGATGGGTTTGTATCTACAGTAAATCAAGCGAGGACTTAAACTGTCTACAGATTTTTGTTAGACTGGTCTTAATTGGACAGAGCTTCCATTTGTTTTTGAGGTTTCCAATTTCTGTGAATCTATGCTTCAACAAAGGACCAAATTAAATGGTATGTAGGGGCCCTCACTCTTTTTACTTAAAATGTATCAACCACCAACCAAGATAGGCATGACAAGTAATGCACAATAGAAACAATAGTCACAT